CCATCTGGTATCGAGGCCCTTGCGGACAAGGTCCAATCCATCAAGGATTAGACAAATACTATAGACGCATCATCTCCCGCTGCGTTCAACTCATGCAGCCTCTAACTGATCTTCTCAGAGGAAACGAAGGGAAGTTTGCTTACCTCGACAGCACACACGGCTATCACTGAGCTCAAGAATGCTATTTACAGCATAGCTCTCCTCGCTAACTGCAATCCGTCTGCTCCGCTTTCCCTGACAACTGATGCTTCAGACGTTGCGGTAGGAGCTGTTCTCCAACACTACGTTGGTGGGCATTGGCAACCACTCGGTTTCCTCTCCAAACGCGTGCAACCAGCAGAATACCTCTACAGCACGTTTGCCATCTACTTAGCTATTCGTCACTTCAGATACGCATTAGAAAATCGGACTTTAACGGTATACACTGATCACAAGCCCCCCATTTTCGCCTTTAACTCATCGTCTACAAATATTCACCACGGAAAACTAGAAACGTAGACTTTGTCATGCGGTCCAGTACTAACATACGCTTTGTTTTAGATGTCGCCAACCCCGTCACTGGCACTCTCTCGCGTCATGCTCACTCTTTGCATACTCTCGACCTCGCTGCTATGGGAAATGCTCAGGGCTATAACGATGACCTCCAAAGCACCCTGCAGCCCACTTCACTACATCTGTAACCCCTTCCTCTTCAAATCACGGACGGAACTATCCTGTATGACAATACAACAGGCTACCCAAGATCCCTCGTGCCCGCCTATTCACATGCACAGTCTTCTTTATGCTTCACTCAATGTCTCATCCTGGTATTCGGCCATCTTTTGACTTGGTAACTGAGAATTTCGTTTGGCCAAGCGTAACCAAAGATGTTGCTAACTGGGCTCCAGCTTGCCTTCACTGCTAGCGCTCCAAGGTACATCAACACACCCGGAATCCTCTCGGCTAATTCCCTGTCCCGGATTTGTGGTTCTCACACTTACACTTAGACCTGGTGGGACCCTTGCTTCCTCGCTGATTTGTATACGTACTGACATGTGTCGACCACTTCACTAGATGGCCAGAAGCTATCCATGCATCAGACTGCACGGCCGAACCTGTCGTCTGTGATTTCTTGGACCGTTGGGTATCACACTACGGATGCCCATCCGTTATCACAGCCGACCGTGGCACACCTTTGGAATCTTCTCAATTAGTTACATTCTGCAGCTTCTTAGACTGCTGCTGTATCCACACAACGGCATATCGCCCAACGGTGAATGGCCTAGTCGAAGGCTTTCATCGACAACTGTGACACTTCTGACTCTAACTGGAGCGAAAATATTCCGTTAGTACTTCTGGGTATCCGCAGCAGTATCGAAGCTGACCTGTAGTGCGCATCAGCAGAGTTGGTCTACGGCACAACGCTTAAGCTGCCAGGAGAGCTCATTTCGCGTTCCTCACCATCGTGTATGCCACCGTCAAACTTCGCATCCTCCCTTAATGTATACATTGCTGCGCCTGACCCTTCCCTGTGAGCAGATCAGATATCTGCAAATGCACAGTAAAATCTCTACCTGTACTCACGTTTTCGTGCGCACAGACAAAAGTGCGTCGTCCCCTGCAGCCTCCCTACACTGGCCTCTTCAGAGTGCGCCAACGAGCTCCTAAGCATTTTACCTTAGACCAGAATTGTCACCGAACAACGGTGTCCATCGATTGTCACCAGGTTGCATTCTTCGGTAATCCGCCTCCAAGCTTACTTGGTATCGCCGCAAACGTAAACTCACCAGCAGCTGCAACTACCACACCAGGTAACCTAGACCCCACTGTTACCCTTGACCCTCTGCCACCACAGCCCTAACCCCATACAACTGACCGACGCGGTACACAGGTTAAACGTCCAATCCGCTTTTCAAATTTTGTTAACGTTTGCTGTATCCCTTGACATGCGTATTTTCCACCTTTCATGGTAAGCGTATGTTTCATTCACAAAGCTTTTGCGAAATGACAAATTTGTTAAAACATTTTTTTACAGAAGATCTAAAAAGTGTATACATTTTTGTTTTCGATGCTGGTCTCGTTATCCACACGGTATCACGCCGCCTATCCCTACCACGTCTCACACTCTCCGAGTTTTACATTCCAGAACTCAAGTCCCCTGAGAAACCGCCGGATCTTCTGGCCCATCTGCCCAAAGCCTCCTGGCTCCAAGCGACTGTGACTCCCCACTACCGGTACGGCAACGACTGATCTGGCCTGCGAGTTCTGAAAAACGGTTCCCCAAAGACGACGTCTGAGATTCTTCGTGAGACGTGGATCGTTACGGCCGTAGACTCCGAGTGAGCTGGAGGGAGTGACACCTCCCAAGCGCACCGTCGGGTTGCGGCGGAGGGAATGTCCTGTCGGCCCTTTTTCCGGACTAGCCAGTGTTTTGCGGTCCGACCAGCCCGCCCGGACGGCCCACCGATGATGCACTCCAGTCCACACACAAATAATAAATAATAAAAAGTCTTATAAGGCTTTCATCCCAATAGTTCACAAGCTACATAGCAGACCCTAGTCCGGAAAAGCGCCAGACGTGTTTCGCCCTATTGGGGCTCGTCAGTGGCGTGCATTCCCTCGGTCCTCTAAGGAGGATCGAACCCATGACCGCTAGAGGCAGATGCCAATTAGCCAGCAGCTTAAGCCACTGAGACATGGGGGACGTTGGCTGGGCTACATAATTTGCAAACTAACTGGGATATAGCACCACCTATCTACCACTGTCACTGACAGTGGTTAGCCTGCAAGGTGATGAAGTCCTCTCGCTAGACGCTATATCTATAGCATTAGAAATAATAAAAAGGCCTGGACCCAGCGAACTTCACATGCGCCCACTACAATTGCTACCCTGCCTTTCCGTTCTCAATTTGTCTCCCTCCCTGACTTCTCTATCGTCCATTCGTTTAACTGATTATACGTACCGATCACTTGCTCCTCTGGTTAGTCACTCTGCAATGCTACTGTCTGCATCTGCTTACCTGCCCTCCATCCTTTGTAGCTTCTGTCAATACACATTGGGTCCAAACGCTCTAGTTGTCTCGCTACTTCCGTACTTCGCAAGCCTCTTACTTGCCACCTCTTGCGATTGGCATCTGTGTAGCACTTCATGAGGTCTGACAATGTGTAGGTGGATTAACATATACCATTCAATTTTCTTTTGTGTGCTCCTTCCGTCACCGGAGAAAATTGGAAGGATATCTATCCGTTTGTGTGAAAACTGTGTTAGTCTTATTCACTCATCCTGTGATCCTCCTTGTAGTGGGGTTTTTCCTACGCATTTGATCACACATCGCCTAAGCTCCACTCATCCGACACGGAATTACAAGCTCTATTCAGTTGATCGTCAGGCGTAGATATTCTTCTATCGCCTTATCACCTAAATCGTCTTACCGGTTTTGGAGAATTGTCAGCTAGCCGTCCGCATCGGCTGACCAATTTTATCGGTTGTCGGCGTTCGATCTACCCTGCAGTCGTGTCAACCGCGCCCTGTTGCGAACAGTACTCCGTCAAATAAACTGGGTCAAAACTCACACCGGCAGTCACCTGACCGTGCGGCGGTTAAACCGGCGTGTGAACTGAAACCACCGTGCAGTGCAGTCGTTTGAAGTTCGGGTAGGTCGGTTTTATCGCGTTCTCTCACCCCACAGGGCAGTATGTGACTAAGAAGCGAAGTGGACGCATCCATCCCTCTGACTGGGGTGCGCAACGTCAACTGGTAATATTCCTTCGGTCCGGCGTTCCAAGCTCATCCGTGTCTGCTAGTATGACGGGCCGCAAAACACCCTTAGAACTGCAACACAAAATAAATACGTCGTAGACGGCTGGATGCACAACCGCCTAGTAAATGGCTGATGTAAGGAAGCAGATATGGAAGCACGGAAAATGAAAGGAAAAGTGCTGGAGAGGAATAAGTGGGAAAAGATAACAGGAAGCAGAACCGATCGACCTATTACATGTTAACGTGTTCCCGTGACGCTCGCAGACTGGCTACAAACTAATACATTGTATCTACCCACCCCGCACCACACTCGCAGCTTGATCGATAAGTTGCATAGACCTGTGCCGATCCGCGAGTCATTTTTGAGCACGTGATGTTAAACGTTGGATCGACGCGGTGCCGCTGTATCGTTGGCTGACCAACCGGCCCTATTGGTGGAAACTTGGAAAGGTAAGTCACTGGGCCTTAATGAGCTTTGTCACCCCAGAATTCACGCTGGGATATAGCATACACTAGATAGCTTTTATCTTCCTATTTACAAGTGCCTGCCATTAATACAATGAGGAAAAAGCGTGCGGATAACCGGGCAACCACGGTAGGCAATACCGTTGCGGTCACAACGAGTGCCGAGGAACCTGCGCCACGTTGCACACATTCCGTTCCATTTGGGATACAAGAGCAGGTAAATGAGTCAAAAAGACGTGACAGAGAGTTGTTAGTGTTGTCGACCTTATATCTCCACTGTTAGCCAGAAATAAAGATGTTGGAGAAACTGGTAGCCGAACAAAATGAGAAACCAAAGGTGATTGACTCATTGGAGGATATCCTTATGTAGGTTTCATACATAATTCAGGCTCTGTCTAATCCAGAGCCAAAGTACAAAATCGGAGCATTCAACTTCTTAATGCAGTCGCCGTCGAGGTTACACGAAGATGCAGAGTAGCAAAAAATGTCATCACCCCCAATATAGCTGGGCATATCTCGATCGACAACATTAAGTATACTGTTTCGAGAGCATGCGACATTGCTGAGACAGATAGTAGTTGCAGAAGATTGATGAAAATATCGTTACGTTTTCCTTACCCGACTCTGTTCGACCTTCGTAGCGAAAGTCTCGCAAGTGCGTTTAGTAAAAGCCACAGTACTATGAGATCTGTTCCGAAGTTTAGAAACGCCAAGCTGGTCGGAATTATTTCGTTGCACCTGTCTTTTCAAGTTTTCGGATTCAAATTTCTTCGCACATCGGCCTGGGTACACTCATTCAATCGGGCTCGATCAGGTCTACCCATTGCGCAAATACCCCCCCCCCCCCCCCACAACCCCCCCCCCCAAAACCCCCCCCCCCCCCCCCCCCCCCCCCCCAAAAAAAAATAAAAACCCCCCCCCCCCCCCCCCCCCCCCCCCCCCCCCCCCCCCCCCCCCAAAATATATATATAAAAATAAAAACAACCCCCCCCCCAACCCCCCCCCCCCCCCACCCCCCCCCCCCCCCCCCCCCCCCCCCAAAATTCCTTACCCCCCCCCCCCCCCCCCCCCCCCCCCCCCCCCCCCCCCCCCCCCCCCCCCCCTTTCCCCCCCCCCCCCCCCCCCTCTTATAAAACCCCCCCCCCCCCCCCCCCCCCCCCCCCCCCCCCCCCCCCCCCCCCCCCCCCCCCCCCCCCCCCCCCCCCCCCCCCCCCCCACCCCCCCCCCCCCACCCCCCCCCCCCCCCCCCCCCCCCCCCCCCCCCCCCCCCCCCCCCCCCTATATTCCCCCCCCCCCCCCCCCCCCCCCCCCCCCCCCCCCCCCCCCCCCCCCCCCCCCCCCCCCCCCCCCCCATTCCCCCCCCCCACACATGGCAGATCTCGATCGACCAACATTAAGTTATACGCTGTTTCGAAGAGCATTGTGACATTGCTGAGGCAGATGTTGTTCGCTGAAGATTTTGATGAAAATATCGGTACCGTTTTCCTTACTCCCGACTCGGTTCGGGACCATCGTTCGCGAAAAGTCTCGCAAGACTGTCGTTTAGTAAAAGGCCATACAGTCCCCCCCCCTCCCTGATACCTATGTGATCTGTTCCGGAAGTTTAGATATAAATAACGCCAAGGCTGGTCAGGTTAATAATGTTTGTTTCGTTGCTCCTGACTTTTCAAGTTTTCGGATTCAAAATTTTTCGCACATCGGCCTGGATACCCTCATTCAAACGGGTTCGATCAGACCTACCCATTGCCTAAACTTTCTCGACGGTACTATAAACGGAACCACGTCAAAAGC